AATAAGGATTTAGTAGATATGCCATCAAGTGCAACGGGGTGTCCAATCTACCCATCATCTTCGTGTCAATGATTTCTAAGATGGGATCATAGTTCTTGGCAAGATTGTTCAGGACACTTTTTATATCCTCTTTAGTATGCATAAGCTCCCCATACAAAAATCCCATCGACGGCTTCTTATCGGCATCCGCTATGCGAAGAACCTTCACCAATGGAGCAAAAATAGTCAAGAAAGAAGTCACGCCATTCCAAAAACTAATAGACATCACGGTGTTGTACCTTGCTTTTCCCTTGACCGTCTTGGACCACTTGCACTCATCCCACTCGGAGCTAGTAAACATGGCCCTTAATTGTGATTTTTTTTTTCCATCAAGCTTTGCAAGCTAAGAAATGAAGAGGCGAATCGTGTGACTTCGGGCCTTATTATGTCCCTCCTTTTAGTGTAAGACCTCATCATGGATAAGGTCTTATGATGTGCATAAATGAATATAGTCAATGCCTTTGCTTGTTCAATGGTTTTGGTGAACCGGGGTAGTTTTCGAATGCCCTCAAGATAAGATTGATGGTGTGTGCGGCACATGAAGTCCAAAAGATAGTTGGTCTCTTTGTGCGCAATAACTTCGCCGGTCCCATATTATTTGAAGCATTGTCCGTCACAACTTGAACAACATTCTCAGGCCCAACTTGCTCAATGCATTGATCCACATACTCAAAAATCATTTCACTTGTGTGAGATATATCGGAAGATTCCTTGGAAGATAGAAATATCGTTCCAATTTTAGAATTCACACACAAATTCATGATGCTTCTTCTCTTTCTATCACTCCAAGCATCCGTCATAATCGAGCAACCACTCTTCTTCCATTCATCTTCATGAGGCTTCACCTTGAGTTTTGTTCTCTCAACCGCTTTCTTCAACAATGGCTCTCTCATCTCATATGAACTAGGAGGCTTCCACCTCGACCTAAATTGACCGAGCGCTTCGGTAAAGAGCCGAAAGCTATCAAGCTCAAGTGCATTGAAAGACATGCCCGCTTCATAAGCCCAATCGACAAAATAATCTTTCACCAAGTTGGATCATTCTTTCCAAATAGCATCATTAATGTTTTGTTTCCGCATCGTCTTTTCCACGTTCAATGATGCCTCCGGGTTGATTATTGTAGCAAATCTATCCATTGGGCCAGGAGAGTGTGATTCTTTTGCTTTTTCGCATTGTTGAGAGGACTCAATATTCAACCCTTTAATGTTAACCGAAGATAGCAACTCTTCTTGAAGTTATTTTGTCTTCATCTTCTTGGACTTGGACTCATTGATGGCATTTCTACATTTAGCTTGATCTTCTTTTGTTGCTTTTCTACATGAAACAACATTCCCGGAAATTTGACCAATATGCTCTTTCAATCTACGAATACCACCCGACATAACTGTTGTGTACAAATTATTCTTTTTACCGAGTACCAAATCGAAAGATTCGTTCCCCGGGTCGATCTCACGAGGAAGGATGTTCGGAATTTAGCTTTGATATTGATAGCATGAAAAAGCAAAATAAAAATCCTAAACATGCTAATCAGATAAAGGGTTTGAATAACTATCTACTACGAAATAATAAAAAGCATGAATCTACCTAAA